TGATACGTTAATTTGATGTGCGAGATCCATTAATCGCTAAGTAAGATATATTACATTTTATACATGATACATTTGTTTGATGTATATCTTATACATGATACAGTTAATGCGCGTGATACATTAATTTGATGCGCTGATACTGAAAATAAGGGATTTTGATGATTTGTAAAACTAATAGAGGATAATGGTAATAAAAAAACTTAAAGGTGAGCTTTCCGTCATTTTTCCTTTTTATATTTTGTCCATATCAAGTTAAAGTCAGATAAATAAATTGAAACGAAGGTGACACGATTTACGAGATTGTTAGGGGTAAATGTGTCATAACATGAAATAAATCAAGGCAAAAGTCAGACAGCGTATATCCACCATGAATATGAAGCTGTCATGAGGTCCACTCACTTGCTGATATAATGATAACCAACGAACGAACAAATTCCTCAACAGAAATTGGAATTTGAGCCTCATTTTAAGCTCAATTTTCATTTGTTATTAACATATACTTTTCCCACTTTCGAAAAAAACAAGAAACAAAGGAGCAACAAATACTATTTTTTGTGAAAGTTTCATTAAAGGTACAATCTTTACTATTGAATCTTGATCTTTTTATTATGCACAGTACATGTTTGTGGATATTCCTCTATAAAGATTGATTCTTTGGTGAAAGAATTTTGTGGGTGTCATTTCTTTTGGATTGATCTTTTGATTTGGTGGTCTATGTGAGTTTAAGATCTTTATTATTGTCAATCAATGTTTGTGGATGTTGTTTTTTAAATAAAGATTGATACTTTGGAGGAAGAATATTCTGGGTGTCATTTCTTTGATATTTTGATTTGGTGGTGTGTGTGATTTTAAATATCTTATAGTCAATCCATGTTTGTGAATGTTTGATAACTTGGAGAAATAATTTTGTGGTTCTCGAACCTATGTTGCTCGGATTCTTTAAAAATGTTGAAGGGTGTAATTTTGGAGGATCCAACATTGATGGGACAATATTTTTGCAGAGTCCAACATTTTCCTCTTTTTGGATTGATCATTTAGTTTGGTGGTGTATGTGATTTTATAATCATTCTTATTCTCAATCAATTTTTGTGGTTATTTGCTAATAAAGATTGATAATTTGGAAAAATAATTGTGGTTTACGGATCCATGTTGCTCGGATTCTTCAAAAATTGTTGAAGTGTGTTTGTCGAATCCTCCAAAAGTAGTGTATTTTTTGAGGATCCAAAACACGAGTGCGGCAACATTTTAGGAGAGTACAAGCAACCATTTTTCTCTTTTTGGATTGATTGATTTGGTAATGTATGTGATTCTAAATCTCTCTCATTCTCAATAATGGCGGTGAATATTTCTTAATAAAGATTGTTAATTTGGAGAAAGAATCTTATTATTTCCTCCTACGTTGCTTGGACTCTTCAAAAATGTTGAAGGGTGTGTGTCGGATCCTCCAAAAGTAGTGTATTTTTGGAGGATCCAACACAGGCACGACAACATTTCTGGAGAGTCCAAGCACCTTTTTCCTTTTCTTTGGATTGATCATTGATTTGGTTAGTGTATGTGGTAATTTTCATCCTTCTTGTTTGTTGATTTATTTTGCTTGAAAAGGATAATAGTTTGACTGTTGAAGGTGGATTGTTCGATCTGAAAATGGGTATCTTCCATTTGAGTGAAATGTCAAAAGCTAGAAATCATTTTATTTAATTGCTTTTGGTTTGTTTTTTCTTTTCCCATTCTTTTTGGTAGATCTATTTTCTTTCAATCTGTTCTTTCAAAGATATACTATTGATTAAGCTTGCACCTCAATTGGCATTTCCGTTATTTTTTATTTTTGAAATTTTTTTTTATAACATAAATATGATGTAATCCAATCATATGATTTCATCCAATCAAATTGCATGAGATCTTTATATGTTACAGAACCATTATTCTGTTGGAGATAAATGAAAGAGCTTAGCTCTATTTATTGCTATTGTTCTGTGGATTAGGATTTTCTCACTTATTGTGGTGTTTGATCTTCGATATTACACGAAATCTATGTACGTTTTTGGTTTTAGTGACATGAATATATTGTTATCTAATTCCAGAACACATAAAAGATGGCAGAAGGTGAGGATATTCAGCCTCTTGTCTGTGACAATGGAACAGGAATGGTTAAGGTAACTATGATATTTCACTGGATTCTCCTGAACTTTTGGTCTCATTAAAGATGGCATTGGCCTTATTTGTTCTGAATACTGACTGTGAATCTTGTCTTGAAATTGTTAGGCTGGATTTGCTGGAGATGATGCTCCAAGGGCTGTCTTCCCTAGTATTGTGGGACGTCCTCGTCACACTGGTGTGATGGTTGGCATGGGCCAGAAAGATGCCTATGTTGGTGACGAGGCTCAATCCAAAAGGGGTATTTTGACTTTGAAGTATCCGATTGAACATGGTATTGTTAGCAATTGGGATGACATGGAGAAGATTTGGCATCATACCTTTTACAATGAACTTCGTGTGGCTCCAGAGGAGCACCCAGTTCTCCTCACAGAAGCTCCTCTTAACCCAAAAGCCAATCGAGAGAAGATGACTCAGATCATGTTTGAAACCTTCAACACCCCTGCCATGTATGTTGCCATCCAGGCTGTTCTTTCCCTCTATGCCAGTGGACGTACAACTGGTAAGCTCTGCCTTCGCTCAACCACTTACAAATATTTTTGTCGAATGCGCGAAACCAGCATTTCCACTGAAGTATAAGGTTGATTATTTGTTGAAACATTGTGTTGAGTCCTGTTTATTAGGTAAAACAGAATTAGTGAAAACATATTACTTATTAAGTTATTTCGTGTTCCTCAATATAAAATCATGCGTCTGACTGTGGATTTTCTTTTTATGCCAGGTATTGTGCTGGACTCTGGAGATGGTGTCAGCCACACAGTTCCCATCTATGAAGGTTATGCCCTCCCACACGCCATCCTGCGTCTTGATCTTGCAGGGCGTGATCTCACAGATCACCTCATGAAGATCCTCACAGAACGAGGCTACTCTTTCACCACCACAGCCGAGCGGGAAATTGTTAGGGATGTGAAGGAGAAGTTGTCTTACATTGCTCTTGACTATGAACAGGAAATTGAAACAGCAAAGACCAGCTCATCTGTTGAGAAGAGCTATGAGCTTCCTGATGGACAGGTTATCACCATTGGTGCTGAGCGATTCCGCTGTCCAGAAGTGCTGTTCCAACCATCAATGATCGGAATGGAAGCTGCTGGTATTCATGAAACCACGTACAATTCCATCATGAAGTGTGACGTTGATATCAGGAAGGATCTGTATGGAAACATCGTCCTCAGTGGTGGTACCACAATGTTCCCTGGTATTGCTGATAGGATGAGCAAGGAAATTACTGCATTAGCTCCTAGTAGCATGAAGATCAAGGTTGTCGCCCCACCTGAGAGGAAGTACAGTGTCTGGATCGGAGGATCTATTTTGGCCTCCCTCAGCACATTCCAGCAGGTACGTAAAATCTATCAACTTTTTGTGGTCTGATTCATTTCAAAGTTGCACATCTTAAAGCTTATTCACTATCTTCATAAGCAGTAGATTGCTTTAACATAAAAACCAATTTGCTTCTATGACTTTACTATGTTTGAGAAATTTGAATTATCTGAGAGCAAATGCTAACCAACCCTTCCTATGCTAAATGCTGAACTCTTTCAAAGGAATGTGATGAACAGTTGTCAAGGACGCGTAAGATATTTACTTACGAGATTTCTTTTTTCATGGTACAGATGTGGATAGCTAAGGCAGAGTATGATGAATCTGGACCTTCAATCGTTCACAGGAAATGCTTCTAAATACAGCACGTCGAGTAAGAGATAAGTGAAGAAATATACAAACTTGCATTTCCAGAGCAGCTCCCTGTCGATTGGTTGCATATAATATGCTTCTCATTTGTATTTCCTTTTGATTTATTTTTGTTTCAATCTCAAATATTTGGTCATTGGTATGATTAAAAAAAAAGAATGTCAATTTACCATTAATATTTTTATGTAGAAGAGTTGTATTTCAAAAATGTTGTGATTTGGATTATGGATAAAAAGCTTTGTTGATTCATTTTATGTATACTTTTGGTCTCAATTTTTATGTACTCAAACTAAGAAACATTTTTCATTTCCCCTTCTCTATTAAGTTATTACGCTCTATCGGAATCAAACGTTATGTCTATTATAAAGATATTATATATGAGTCTAATTTAATCTCAAAATCCAACTCATGAGGGTAGGATTGCCAAGTCCATATAAGCCGACTTCCCCAACCAATGTGAGACTTTTAACTACTCTAACACCCCATTCATGCTCAGGCCTAACTGGAATGTAGACTGGAAGCGCAAACGGGATGAAATTGGCTCTGATACTATGCAAAGATATCATATGGACTTACACAATCGTTCCCATGAGCTAGTTTTGAGGTTGAGTTCGGCTATGTGCCATATCTTTAGATTTTTAGCTCGGAATTTTCGTGAAGTGAGACTAAGCTTGATTAAAATTAGTAGAGGAGAATTCAATACCTCTAGATTGTTGACAGAAGGATAGGAAAAATTGGTTTAAGTGTCAGTTTAAGTTCTAATGAACAACAAAGTCAAAAATTAAAGACATCATATTTGAGCACAAAAATGTTAGTTTCTTTTAATACTATTTGCTGGCTTATCATTTGGTATGATTGCTTTAAACTTATTTGATTTTAGGTGTTACACTAGCACACTGCCAGTCAGATCATGTACTAAACGATGGACGTTGCAGACATGAACGATCCACAGAAACTGTTCTCGATGGAGTACGAAAGAGTTTCCTCGAGATAGAACATGAAGATGATGATGGATCTTCTAGTGATTGATAGTGAAATTTTCATTTTCATAACTTCTTTGTGGTTTTGGTACAACATTCATGTTCTGTAGGAGTAACAAGTAGCTAAGCTGCCTTTGTTGCAATGCGTGCTGCTTCTGTTTTCAGTTTTTACTTGTAAAGTTGATTATGAAATAGTCTAAATAGAAAACTATTTACAGTGCAGAAATACGAACACTTGGAAGAAGGAATCTCCCACTTCCCACCACATACACAGAAAGAAAAAAAGAAAGTACATTCATGCCTTTACATATGTGAATTTACAGGTATCTTTTGCCTCCTAAAGAGTTACCTAACCTTGTAAAGGTTCCTCATACTCTGCAGTCATCTGCCACTGAGTACTGTAATCGGTGTAAGTTGGCCTTCCTGGAGAGAATCACTAGAAGCTTCGTTGGACGATGGAGCTTTGGCTGGCCATACAAATGCAGGTTTCTCAGTTGGGATGTCTGGTAGAACTAATTCCCCTGTAAGAATCTGTAAAGCAGTTTTCATGCTTGGCCTTTCGTAAGGATTTGGATGGCAACAAGCCAAACCTAATATTAACACACATTCGGCTTGTTCTTCATTGAAATCTCTATCCAATCTGACATCTATGGCATCAATGATCCTTCCAATCTTGTACAAGTCCCATACATATTCAATGACTCTGTTGGTATAATTATTCTCCTCATATCGTCTATTTCCAGGTTTTCGACCACAAGCAACTTCAAGAACTAGCACTCCAAATGCAAAGACGTCTGTTTCAACTGTGGCTCGACCTATATGGAAACTCTCAGGTGCCATATAGCCTATAGTACCAGCAATCTCTTTTGTTGAATGGTGAGTCTTTCCATTCACTTGAACTGTCCTAGCTAATCCGAAATCTCCTAGACGAGCATTGAGTTCTGAGTCAAGCATGATGTTGCTGGCTTTGATGTCTCTGTGAAGTACTCTTTTTTGACATCCATTGTGCAGATAATCAAGTGCTTGAGCAATCCCACAGATGACACCATACCTTATTTCCCAATTCAGACTCAAACCTTTTCCGTTTTCTTCGCAAAATATCAACTTTTCTAAGCTCCCATTTGGCATGAACTCATAGACCACAAGGAGTTCATTGCTCTCATAGCACCATCCTATCAATTTGACAAGGTTTTTATGATGGAGATTGCCTATAGTTGTGACTTCTGCTATGAGATCTTTTGCCCCTTGACTTGAATCATTAAAGAATCTCTTCACAGCCACCTCTTTTTGATCTAACATCCCTTTGAGGACTACTCCACATCCTCCTCTTCCAAGAATGTTCTTCGGATCAAAGTTCCCCGTTGCTCGTTTCAAGTCCTTCAGCTGGAATCTCTGAGGTGCAGTAGCTGAATTCTGAATCTGAATCTCTATATTCTCCGACTGATCTAACACTTGCGTCCTCTTCTTTTTTCTCCACCAGCTGAAATATACGAAAACCCCACCAAGGAACACAACCAGAACCGATATTACTGGTATCAAGATCCACAACCATAACAAGCTAACTTCATTACTGTTCCCAATATCTGTGCTTGTAAAATTCCATGCCTTTATGCAGTTAAGCTGATTATATATCCCAGTTGAAGCTGAAAATCCCACGAAAACATCCTCGGGGAGATAGCTAGAAAGATCAAGTGGCATGGAAATGATGGGATTTCTTTCATTGACTCCAGTTTCATTACTCATGAATGTATAGACCTTCAAGATGTTGGATTCTCCATCATACTGGACACTTGCTATAACATCAACAGCTCGTGAAAGGTTAACACCACGATCCATCAACGAGACCTGATTGACAGAGTTGATGCTGTTTATGTCAATGCCAACATGATTATCATCAAGATCATCAAGGTAACTTTTCCTTGTATCGAATTCAACAGCAAATATGTTGTTTAAAGAAGATCCATTAGTAGTTTCATTCACAATCCCAAGCCATTGTCCATAACTTTCATCTGGGATTGACTCATAACCACTTTCTTTAGTCAATATGAAAGCCAATCCTTCACCCCATGGATCACTCTCAGGTTTGATATTGATCACAAACGTTGAATTAAACGAGGCTGTTCTGTTTTTCCTTCTGTTCCATAGATTCATAGGCTGTGAATACCATATCCTTCCAGACAAATTACTGATGGAAGTACCACGAGCATCGCCAGTTACTTGGATAGCTCCAAATTCTATGTAGGAATGCTCAGTAGTTATGAAATCATTTTCGTTTTGCTTGGTGAAATTTTGGTAATTGAAACTCAGACAATCCACTCTAAGAACCAAAAATATGAATATGATCAAAAGATGAACAAAGTTAGTTAAATAACTAATCTTGCCTAGATAATACATATCAACATATAACAAAAACTATGTTTTTTTCTTGCCTCAAGAAGGAAAATGTGGGAGATTTGTAGTGAGAATTTGTTTCTCCATTTTATGGTGAAAGTTTCTAAGTGATTTGATCAAATTGTTTGACTTGGATTAAGAAGAAACTTCCTTGGTGTTTACACTAATTTTTTTTTCTTAATATTTCTTATTATAAGCTTGTTGTTGGTCTGCATGTTTAGTTTAGTTTTTTACTTTTCTCATATTGTTATGTTTGTCAAGTGTACCATCTTCCAAAGAGAGAGAAGTTGGTTATTAACAATATAATGACAATGACAGATGGAGCTTCTTTTTTTTTTTCGTATTTCGTTAATTCATGAACATGATCTATACATATATTTTTTTGGTTTAACGGTCAACGTTTATATTTCAGTGATATGAGTGGAAGTCTTCCACGCTATTGAGTTTAATTCTCATTATCCAGTCCTCCTTTGCGCTTCGCCAATTCAAAAACTCTTTTTTAATCGATTAATTTAATGTAGGCATCGAGTGCAAATAAGTATTCTCCAACAAAACAAAAAGGGTTGACTAATTCTCAAGATATTAAATTATGATAATTGAGATTATAGCTGGAGAAGTTCCTAACCTAATGATTTCATCATATATAATCTAATCATAGAAGACTTAAAACACATTTTATAAAGTATATATCTTATGTCAATACTGAGATAAGGCTCCAGGTTTTTCTAGTGATTTTACTTTTAAGAATCATTACTAGGTCCGGAAAGGGTAGAGCGTTCACGAGGTACAACCTTACTCTTACCTCATAAATATAAAAGAGGTTATTTCTAAAAGATCCTCTAACACGAAAAGATCTAAGAGAAAAGGTCAAGTTGAATATTGTGCTTCTTAATTCTATTTTATTTGGGTAAATCTTATTCTATATAGAGTAAGGCAATAATCTCATGATACTGACATACATTCCTTTTCAACTGTGGAATTAGTTGCCAATAGCTAAAAATTAAAGGATTTAAAAAATAATCTTAAGAGTCATAGTTTGAGAAGCACACATTATACTTTTATAACATTGTCATAAACCTCCAATAACTTAATAATATTGTCAACTTGTGGTAAAGATACATACACAAGATACTGAGATTTTGGAACATAGGACTATATTGACTTTGCCACAGGCATATTACTATTAAAAATCTCACTTATTCTACGGCGATTACATCGAAGTTTATCTCAGGTTGCCTCTGAACCGAGCATCTAGTGTTTACACCAAACTATATGAGAGAACACACATTGTTCTTATTCGTCCTTAACTATGTAGGAAAGGACTTCATTCGGGCAGCTGAGTTAAGTTTCGTTCTTTTCAAGTTGGCTGTTGAGGAACTCGAGCACTGATTGCCGCTGCAAGAAGACACAGGACCAAAATCAGCTTTGCTGGATAAGAGAATACAACAGTGAAGTATAAGATGAGTTAAAAGGAGGACAGATGAGAATTACCCGTTGTTCAAGGCTAACTTCTTCGGGTTTTAGTTCAAGGGATTGCAGTAACTTTATGCCTTCTTGAAATCCTTCAACTGCAGTATCCTCATCCCCGAGATTTCGATCGATATCAGCAACTTTGGCTAAGGAAATGGCTACATCGACTACCTGGAGTAACGGAAGAGAATTATATGAAGCAGGAGAGGCCAATGCTTTGAGTTTCAATGAAAGAAAAATGGGACGTGCTGAACAAAAAAGGGCAGCCCAGTGCACAAAGCATCCCCAATAGTAGGTCCGGGGAAGAACTACACCCCAAGAGGTGTTATGTAGGACAAAAGAATATAAAAATCAGCATGCATGTATAAGTTGCTTAAAGTTAGCTGTACTCTCTTGTTTTGAGCATAGAAAATGTATTAAGTTGTTCAGCTGTAATTTAATTTGGAAAAAGAAATGTCTTCCCCATAAGATCCAAAACATAAACAGCAGAGCAAGTATTCTCTGTATGAGGGGCATGCCAGCATAATGTGTATGGACTCTGGTCCAACATCCAAAAAAAGCGATTTCAAAAGTTTCTTCCAGCATACAGATCAAGCGTTAGGCTTTTAAGGAAAAAAAGAAAATTTTGTTTTATAACCAAAAGTCCCCAGAGGGCTGGCCAGTTTGTTTTCTAACCAAAAAATCCCCGGATGCGCATGGATAATAGCCAGCTACTCTACCCTTCTCCACTTAAACACTAGGTTTCTGTTTGTTCGGACCTATGACGTCAGCCTAAGCCACGCACAGCTTTAGGCAAAAGTAGAGATGACAAAGGGTAATCGGGGGGTAAAATGTTGATCCACCACCCCTAAGCACCGAAGACCATCAGCAACATCTTATCCATACACAAATGTTGAAATAAATGAGGGTAAAATGTGGGAATCATCAGCATTTAAACACAAGATGAATAATAATGAAAAATTCCCAAGTGCCAAGGATGGTAAGGGAATGATTCTTTTAGATATCAAGATGCCCCAGGTTCTTTGACAGGACCGTTGCCATAAATTTATAAATTTCCAACAAATAGCAATGCCAATAGTGATGTTCATCAGATTAGGAAAGGTACACAAACCTGAGATGGCACAGACTGTTGCTTGATGGCATTGCGGCGAACATCCAACGCCCGAAAATAATGAGATCTGGCAGTTTGCAAATCACCGGCATAGTATTTAAGATCTCCAATTTTGTTTAGTGAAACAGAAAGTGTATGTGTGATCTGCAAAGATTTTTTTAAGGAATTACAGAAAGCACACTCATATATGAAACGATATGCATTATATCATCATAGCTTATAGCAAAATCAAATTAGGTGTACTGCTTAGTGGACAAAAATATATTTAGATACATACATATGTAAATATAATACATGTGTGTGTGAAACATCATTAACAGTTACCTCTACATCATCTTTGGGTACTTTCAAAAGGAAATTGACACTCTCTTCAAAGTAAGCGACTGCAGATACAGCATCTCCTGTAGCTCGACTACAGTATAGCTCAAGTTATTTCTTTTAACAAACTAAATGTCCAAAACTTCTGTAATCACTTATAAAATTAATACTTAATATCATTGATAACACTTGTAAATGACTTAGGGAATGACATATTTTTCATTCAAGAAGAGACTTTGATAGAGACATACCTGCAGTCACCAAGCATACCAAGAACTGCTCCGAGCTGTGAGCACAACTCTGATGTATTCCCCATTCTCTGAAGCTGTTCTCTGATGTCATCTGCACACATAGTAAATCTTGATTTTGCACTATCAATATTATTGGCACGAAAAGCCTGCAAGTTGAGCCAAAAGTTAGTGTAAACCCTGAAATGTGATTCACTAGCTAGTCTCAGATTATACAAGAAAGAGTGATGACAATATGAATCAGCTAAGTCAGTCTGAGAAACTGCGGACATTTCTGCACCAGAGACTAATGAGATTTATGGTAAACATACCCGCATGGCTTGTTGAACCAGGAAAGCTCCACGCTCCAAAGATGCATCCTCGTATATAACAGTTTTCTTTTCCACTATATCTTCTTGCTCATTATTAGACCTCTTAATCCTTGCATGCCCTTCAATAAAGCGATCGACAACATTCTGAAGATTCATATCGGCCTCAATCTTTTCAATATCAGCACCACACAATGGACAGTCCTTAAAGCGGGAGAGACATGCCCTGTTTACCAAAAAGATGTACTACTGAAAAATGTCCAGAAGAATCTTCTTTTTACCTTTATTCTTGCTTTTAAACAGGGAAGTGGCGCATGTGGAAGTAGAAAGACCGTAAAAGAGTTATTAATTTACACTTACTTGCAGAATACATGTGAACAGGGCACACATCTGCTGCTCTCATAAAGAAGTGCTTGACATATCATGCAGCTAAAAGGACCCAGTTTAAATGCTTGAGAATCATAACCAAAGGGGCACTTAGGTGACATTGTCGCAGATTCTCCAGAGTCTTGTTTAGGCTTGCTCTTCTGGCCATCATATCCGAAGGGGCACTTAGGTGACACGGTTGCAGATTCTCCAGAGTCTTGTTTAGGCTTGCTCTCCTGGCCATCATATCCAAAGGGGCACTTAGGTGACACAGTTGCAGATTCTCCAGAGTCTTGTTTAGGCTTGCTCTCCTGGCCATCCTGTTGTTTATTTTGGTCGTCACAAGGTTTCTTAAGAGTTGAATCATATCCAAAGGGGCATTTAGGTGACACCGTAGCAACTTCTCCAGATTCTTTTTTAGGCTTGCTCTCTTGAGCCTGTTGTTTATTTTCGTCATATGGTTTATTAAGAGTTGCATCATCGGGTCTGGAAGCTCCAGCAAAAGGGCAAACTGGGATCATCTTGATAAATTCCCTGTAAATGCTACAAGTTATTCATATCTTTTGAGAAAAAAAAACCCGCAGATCAGACAACTACTAAAAAGACACAAATCCAGCAGTTCAACAAAGAAAGTGCACATGCCTTGTCAACAAAACTTTGCAGGAAACAGGTGAGGTGATGACTTAAGAGCAGAATTCTGAACAAGAAATAGCGATTGCTTTTCTATTTCAGTCTACATAATATAGTTAAGAAGCTTCTTCTACCTTAAGTGTGCCATCTGGCTTCAAACACTGCAGACTCAATACCTTAGTAAAAACATCCGAAGGTGAGTGCCACCTCACATGGACATTTCTAGTTTAATCCTCAATAGTGATTGAGGAATCTCTACCCTCATTCACCTATAACTCTCATAGTACTAAAATTATCCTTCTTTCTCCTTTCAAAAAGAATTATCTATTTTACTTTTGCTACTTCAACTCGTCACCGAGGAAAAACGGCTCTACTTTGTGACAGCGAAATAGTTCAAATTGCAAATCAAGTTTGAAGAAATATAGGATGTTAAAAAATTTGTATTTATTAACTTAGACAACATACAGTACCAAATATCCTAAAATTTCACAGAAAATGGATCATCCATCACTGTCTCTGCAATAAACAAACTCAGGAACTTTATCACTCACTATTGTGCTGCTTAAAATGTTTAAGGCCAGAATTAAAAGAATTCTTATTACCTCGGTAAGCTAGACATATCCTCGGTAAGCTAGACATATCACGTCCTATCTTATTACCTCTCTTCAAACCTATCTAACTACACCTAGCCTAATCTTCAACCATCATATTCACCTATCTAGAATCATATCCTCGGTGTAAGCTAAACAAATCACGTTCGGTCTAATTACCTTTCCTCAATCTACCTCGACCTCTCTTTGAACCTATCTAATACTCTTCAACCATCATACTCTCCTATCTAAAATCAAATCCTCGGTCTAAGCTAAACATATCACGTCTTGTCTAATTACCTCTCCTCAATCTACCTCGACCTCTCTTCAAACCTATCTAATTATACCTACCCTAATCTTCAACCATCATACTCTCCTATCTAGAATCATATCCTCGGTAAGCTAAACATATCATGCCATGTCGAATTACCTCTCCTCAATTTACCTCGACCTCTCTTCAAACCTATCTAACTACACCTGCCCTAATCTTCGACCATCATACTCTCCTATCTAGAAGCATATCCTCGGTAAGCTAAACATATCACGTCCTGTCTAATTACCTGTCCTAAATCTACCTAGACCTCTCTTCAAACCTATCTAACTACACCTACCCTAATCTTTTACCATCACACTCTCCTATCTAGAATCATACCCTTAATAAGCTAAACATATTACGTCCTGTCTAATTACCTCTCCTCAATTCACCTCGACCTCTCTTCAAACCTATCTAACTACACTACCGTAATCTTCTACCATCATACTCTCATATCTATAATCATATTCTCGGTAAACTAAAAGTATCACGTCCTGTCTAATTACCTCTCCTCAATCTACCTCGACCTCTCTTCAAACCTATCTAACCACACCTACCCAAATCTTCTACCATCATACTCTCCTATCTAGAATCATATCCTCGGTAAGCTAAACATATCACGACCTATCTAATTACCTCTCCCCAATTCTTCCTCGATCTACCTCGACCTCTTACAACACCTACCTATATGCAGATAACAAACCCAAATAAGTAAAAACAGTCAAAAAAATCTATGCATACCCAAAAATGTCGGTGTTTTTCTGGGTTCTTCATAAACGGGTCATTTTCAGCTCAAAATGGATCTTAGGGCAAATAAAAACAAGCAATATCGGAAAAACAAGAATTGAAATTGAAATTTTGAAGGAATCGAATGACAATTGAAACAAAAATCAGATTTTTTTTTACCTCTAGGGTTTTGCGTTAATCGAAGCAGACTTTGATTTGATGTGCCCCAAAATTATTGGTGAAATTAGATTTCAATTCCGATATTGTGAAAATTTTTCTGATCAACCAAAAGATAAATCTTTTTCTTTATTATTTTTTCCCCTTTTCAAATAATGGAAACCAGGATATATTATATTCAATTTTTTTATTTTGTATAAACATATATAGTAATTTCGGGAGAATCTCAACTCAGATATAAAGGTGCAATTAATAGTATTTGGTCAATCTTTACTTTTTTTTCATTTTCGTGTCGAGTGTTTATATTAGGACTTAAAAGTATAATATATAATAGGAAAAAGTCTAAAAATACGTTTCATTCATTTTTTAGCCAAAAAAGTGAATGAAAGAAGTATACGTGAGCCAAAAAGTGAATGAAAGGATATTTTAAGATCAAAACATAACTGAAGGATATTTTTAGACCTTTTCCTATAGTTCAAGGATAAAGTTTTATCCCTTTTCAGTATATAATATACCTAAATAGTATGTATTTATTACATGTAAGAGTGATCGAGTTACTTAAGCAAGTAATTTTCCAAATAAAAGATTTTAAATTTAATTCAAATGAAACACATATTTCGATCGAATTTATAAATTTATCTTAAAGTCTATTCAAAAAATAACCATCGTAAATTTTCGTGTAATTAGAAAAATTGCCAATTGGTTTTATAATTAATTATGTATTCCCTGTCTGGATTACAATCACTTAACACATATTATTCCACTTTTTCTCTATTGGATTTCTTAAGAAATTTTCCTTACTTGGAAGTTGGAACCAAAACAATATAGTATTTCTTGATGAGGGAATGATTGTCACCTTAATTATAATCAGCGGCGAAGTTAAAATTTTAATTCTTATGACTTTTAAAGTTAAAAAATCGATCAACTTCTAGTGTGAATAACTGGATTTTTCAAACTTCTTAATTCAAATGCATTATTCAGATAAGAGTAACTGAATTTTACTTGAACGCCTAGCTCCACACCTGCGTGCTTGTAAATTTCCTTTCTTGTTTTCATATGGATTAATTACTTTACTTGTCATGATTATTAAAAAAATTTAATCCAAAATATTTATTATTTCAAATTAAATTAAAATATAATCAAATTATATTATATTTATTTCACTATCTAGTTAGCATGTGAATGAATGGGTGGGTGGGGGGATATGAAAGGCCAACAAAAATAAAGGTCCCATTTTGGAAAACAATTTTTTTTCTCACCTATGTGATAAGTCATCAATTCATGCAAGCTAAGCTTATCTCATAGTTATATTGTGACCCCATTATTTTATCACTTTTTTGTTTGTTTTGAATTTTGATACTTTTAATATATATATATATGTGTGTGTGTGTGTGTGGGGTGTTTGGCGGGGGGGGGGGTTCCCTATTGTGAAACTTATAATAGATTTATAGATCCTTCCTTGTATTGTAGTTGGAATCCTATTGGATGCCATCATCTTAACTACTATCCACAAAGCAAATTGTATAATTTGGTTGCTTTGCAGCATGAAAACAGCTAGCTAGACATTTTAATTTTATTTATATATATGTTTAGGAACTTGGTTAAAAAAAAAGTAGTTTGTAAATTTTATTTTGTATTTTATAAGAGCTATAAGATGGACAATTAATGTTATATGATAGTGAATGTCGATCGTTGTGTGTTTTACGTAGAGCTGAGATATGAATATATGTATAATTATGAATATATTATGATCGCGTCTAGGAGAGCGTAGATGGCAAGTTAAATAGTCTAGTTCCACTAAGTTGCTTAAATTTGTGTGCCCCTTTTCACACCAGTACGTATAATTTAGCTACTAAATTTCGAAACAACTCGTAAGAAAATGACCATATTTGACTATTTGCTAGAAGATGCAAGTAGTTACAAACACACTATATTATATGTGAAACTACAAACGATCGAAATTAATGAATTGTCTCGAAGAATCTAGAAATCATTGGTATCGATAAAAATAGGGATTAAGAATATGAATGCTAACTTTATAGTTACAAACATTTTATTATTTTCTCTCTTTAATTTTAGTAGTTGTCCCATGCATTTGTTTGTCCTTTTAATCTTTGATAAGTCACTTTTCAAACCAACAATAACCATATATTTTAGTGTAATTTTTCAAAATATCTACTTAATATTGTGTATATATTATTCTTTTTAAGGCGGCTTCACATGACAAAGTATATTTAAACCTAGTTGAACTAGCTGGATCTATATATAGAGAGAGTGCTTTTGTTTATCTACTTAACCATGCTCTCCTATCGTACATATAGTCTTTTAATTTTCTTTAGTTATATCTAGTTTCAATTCTGCTTCAAATTATTGATGAAAAAAAGGCTTGAATATATAGTAATACTATATTCTTAATATCGATATATAAATCGATTTAACGCTCATGATTATAAAAAGTCAAAATGTTTGACTAAGTTTAAAAATATGTCATTTGCCATTAGCCATAGTAGCTAGGTCATTACAAAAAGAGATACTAATATATTGTTTAAAATAAGATGAAAACTCTCATCTTCATTATTTCCTTCCAAGGCAGGTGGAGACCAAAAAAAAAGTGTGTTAAGTTTTTAAATTGAGAAAACACATGCACAATTTTTTTAATATATATGATGACAAATATCCTGGAAAAAAAAATCAAATGTTTTTAGTTGTCCATGTGGAGGTCAAATTAATTTTTTAATAAATATATCTAAATTATTATTTATTTACGAATTTTATATTTTAACTATCAGTTATTTTATTCTTCTACTTGAATTAGCACCATCTAGATATGAAAAGGCACTTCAAAGCTTATTAGCCCAACTATTGATAGTTTCCTGCATAAACTTTCACCATCGTTCTACTCAAAAAGATGTGTTACGAATAAATATTGATTATAGACTGTGATAACTCATATAAGAAAAATTAATAATTAGAATGTGAAACTCGAAATAAAAATTAATAGTTTATATTTTTAATCATCACCTCTTACTTGTTTGAGATTCATATGATCCATCATTAAATTTAAAATATCAAAAGAATTAACTTTGAATATTGGAATATAATTAGTCCACAAATCAAATGGACCATAGTATAAAAAATATTTATCACATGTGAGCAACTAACTATCTTCACATTTCTTTAATTTTCTTTATTGATGATAAAATAAAACAAAGTTGTTATTATTATGTGTTAAGATTAATTAGCATTTTATTTTTTTAATAACAATAAGGAATCACAAATGTGGTGGCTAACTTGTTGCCAGCATAAAGCTGAACTCAAGAATAGCTCCAAAAAGAGTAGAGAAAGTAAATAAATTAAAAAGTGAGCAAATAAAATAAAATAAAAGCAAATGAACAAAATTCATGCAATTAAAAAAAAATATATTATATGAGCAAACTGTCTTAGCTACATCTTGTACAAAATATCAAACCAAAAAAAAAAAAAAAAACTTTCCAATTAGCTATATTAGTTACTTGAGTCCTTCAATAATAACATAATTGTCACATGCATGTTGAACCCTAAACATAGTTGCATAAGCATAACATTACATTTTGAATGATCTGACACGACCACTAATTATAACATTTAAGTACATAAAATAATACCTGATCGTCATCTTCATAATTTGCTAGCTACCCGTTATTATTATTATTACTATCAATTATCATCATAGCAACTGAATTATCTGTTTGACCGAGTAGACTACTCAGAGATCTAGCTTTCACCATTCCAAGCTTCTTCACCTTCTTCTTCTTCGTCTTTTTCTTGTCATCGTCATCATCATTATCATCATCAACATCATAATATTCATGATCATTTGACAACGCGTACGATTCCTTATCTTTTTCTTCTCCTTTCTTCTTCTTTTTCTTATTATTCATCGAGTTTCGAACTGTAGTACTATTCATGCTTCTAAGTCTTCCTTTACCCAAATGATGTTCACACAATGAATATCCCACAAGGGTTTGTTGACAACATCTCCATCCTCTTCCATTAACACGACTACACCTTGATCCCTCTAATATAACACTTCCTCTTTTGTTCTTTTTGTTTACGTGTTCAACTTTATGATCACTGTTAATTCGTTGATAATGTTCCTCGTGTTCTTGCTCCCCCTCGTTACCATTTTCTTGTGGACATTTCTTGTTTGTCTTCGATTTCATCGTGTTAATATTACTTGTGTCGTGATGATGGTGGTGGTGATAGTTGTCTCTTGATCTCTTTTTCAATGGAATTACCTTATGATCTTCTTCACACCATCTACCATCTATTATATATGTGCATGGACAATTTCAATATCATAGCATATGATAAAAGAACAATCACAATCTCAAATCATTTATGAATGACTCTCCAAAAATACTGTTACATTTTCTTCAAAAAGTTGCGATCTCAAATCATTTATAAATGACTCTTCTTAGTAGAAGTCCGAATATCTTTACATCTTAGTAGTACTTTTGGAGGGCTCAATCATACATTGACAATATTTTCGAAGAGTCAACTAAGCAACATACAATTATGGGACATATGAATTGATTTTAGCTATGTAGCTAAAATCTTAAAAAATATCATTGCACCCATATCAAAGATCTTTAAAAAGAAAAATAGTGCTATTTTGAAGGACCTAGCACACTATTTTTTAAAGAGTCAGAGCAACGTCATTCGATATTGGAATAATATAAGTCTTGATTTTAGCTATGTTGCTAGAATCTTCGAAACTATTACTACACCTACGTCGAAAACTTCAAAAAATATTCTATTTAAGAAGGACCCAACACGTAATATATTTTGAAGAGTTAATCTTCAAAAATATCGTTGCGTCAACGTAACCTTCAAAAATAATTTTTTTTCTAAAAGACCCAACATGCAATATGTTTTTGAAGAATCGAAGCAACTCACCTAGATCAGAAGAAGATGATGGTTGATGAAGCAAAGAACCTATTTGTGTTGTACTCAAAAAACTTAATGCTTTCCTGAAGAAGCAACAACAACAAGAACAAAAACAAAAACAAAAAAAATAGTATGTTAATTAATTCCCAAACTATATATATATATATATTATTTAAAAAAAAAAGGTGCACAGTGCAACATTCAGAATTTTCCCGTGTGATATGTTTTAAAATATAAATGGGGACCATTATAATTTTTTTTAAAAAAAGAGATTAAGATGAGATGAGGAATTAAATCATTGGATGTGAATAAAAACCTAAACAGTATTTTTATTATTTCTAGTTTAATTTCTTCTATTATAAAAAATAATCATTCACCTTTTTTTTCTCATGAAAAAAAATAAGAATTAAATAGAACAATTCTTTTTATGCATTAATATTATTCTTACTTGTTATCATTGTCAATATTACTATCAATACTCTCTTTTTTCTCTCTCCATAATTTCCCATCTTCATATTCCTCATCCTACAAAATCAAATTAAATCACAAAAATTAGCACCAAAAAATTATAAAATCTTTTTGTGTACTACCATACATCATTAGTGCAAACCAACACATATTATTTTTTTTTTCTAGTCTGTTAAAAACAATTCTATTACATTCATATAAGTAGAAATAAAGTCTCTATACATTTTATACAGACTTTATTTATAAAATTACACTGAATATATTATTGTTATAGTCGTTGTATCATGGATGCAAACAAAAAGTATGTTAATAATAATTAAATTTAAACTAACCTTTTTTTCTATTTTTGGTGGATTATTGTTGTTGCCACCAAAGAGAACCCAGCTGGTGGTTGTTTTAGCTCCGATGACGGTTGCCGGTTGATCAGACGGCTGTGGAAGACTTAGATTTGGAAGATCAGACGGTAGAGATTCATTTTTGGTGTTTAGTTGGGGATCTGACGGAGGAGGAAAACGTTTCCTTATTCTCATTATTTCAAACAAAAAAAAAAAGAGAAAAAAAGGGGAAAAATTAACTAAATAATTTTTCTACTATATATATATATACATTATATATATATATATATATTGGGTATAAATACCAGAAAATATATATTTATATTTCAAAAAATGATCTTAAAAGAAAATTTGTGTTTGAAAATTTGTTTCTCTCTCTTGAAGTTGGGGTTTTTCTCTCACTAACTTTTATTTGTTGCACCACACAAACATTATAAGAGAGGACTATATGAGACCACTAGGATATAAAGAAAAGAAAAGAAAAAAAGATAGAGAGATGTGGTATGAGAAGTGGCACGTGCGAGTAGCGTGGCGTGTTCAGATATAGTAAAAAATGGTCAATTAAACATCTTTTGTTAACTAATAAGGGTTGTAGTAGAGTCATAAGTACTCTTTCACTATTAATTAGATGTCTCGAGAGTAGTTTTTTTTTAAGCATAATACATAAATATGTCCTTTAACTTGACTTTGAATCACATTTATGCTCTTCAACTTTGAATGTGCACAAGTAGGCACTTAAACTTTTATAAAATTGAACAAATAGACACACATGTCCTACGTGTCATTCTACATGTCATTTTTATACTACGTGTCATTCTACATGTCATTCTACATGTCATTTTTTACTTACACGGAATTGTAAAATGATAACCGTATACCGTACTTGGACCCATCTGTTTTTGTCTTGGGCCGTTGATTAATACTTAAGAGAAAAGGGCCCAATAACTCAATGGGCCCTATCTTTGACAAAGTAGAATTTTGTGTTGAGCCCAATAAACAATAAAGCCCAAATTTAGGATCCAACAAGACCAAAAACCTCTACTCTACTTCTTCGGCCCAACTTTTACAGCCCAATACCATCACATGTGTGTTAAGCTTGCGTTTGAACATGCGTATGAAATCAAATTAATATGTAGTCGAAGTTTTGTTTTTATATGCAATTTGGATTTCGTTAAGTTGTGAATTTCTCCAATACTTAAACAATCTTTCCAAGTGAACAACCCATAGTTCATAAATAATACATTGAGATATCCTAACACGTCATATTGATAAATCACATATCTCCATGTTTCTTATATAAATAAAAATTTGTGATTGCAAACTTTCAAATACACATGATATTATAAAAATCCACTAATCAACACTCGTAATACTGATAACTAGTAATTCTTTACTATAATCATTTCACATAATACGAACAATCTTTTCATGCTAAGCATCAATCTTTTTTTTTTTTTGCAAAATTGAAAATAATGAATATGGTTTGTTTTTTTTTTTCAAAATATAAACGTTTTGATCAAGTTTTATACTTAACAAGTTAATTTGAAATTCCAAATCATGTTTCTAGAGGATTTAAGTTTCAAATTATGGGGATTCATAATTTCTTTTTAGTGCCTTGGATAATTATCTTGTGCAAATAAGGTTGGTTAATTATAAACCATTAATAATGTCCATTTTCTTCTTGTGTTTTGGGCTTATTTGTCCCTATTCTAATGATGAAACTTTATTCTAGCATGAAATATTTATATATTATTTATAAAATTTAAAGTGAAAATAACTTTTAATTTAGCTCACAAAAAAAAAAAAAACTTCATAATTGAGTAGACCACACGAGGAGGAAAGGAGTAAACTTAAAGCAAAAAATGGTCAAACATTTTTCATCATTGCCTCTATTTAAATTGGAAAAAATATAATTAAAAATGATTTTTTCTCAATTAATATCAGAAGTTGTTTTCAATCATGCACCCACAATCGAAATGATTATAGGGTTTTTTCATGCATCAATTATAACAAAAAAATGATCATTTTAAGTAGGCCATGTTTGTTAATTTGTTTCATCAATATTATGTAAAAAATTATAGTCCACTTGAAATCTTGAAAATTACTTGTTTGTTTTGGTATTGATTGAATGATGACCATTCAAATTGCCAATCAACTAATTAAAATTAAGGGTCGTTTGGCTACATCGAAGAATCATACCATAAAAGTTTATCCTACGCATTCTTACCTTGTATCTTTGTAAGAATTTGTTTTTACAATTTCATAAATACGTGACTAGATCATGATCATATGGCAATAACTTTATTTATCTTAATTATAATATTAATAAATCATACTATCAAGATAACCTAAATTTTGAACCAAACATTCCCTAAAGATAGTCTTTGAAGTCCTTTGAATAAATAAGTTTGCCTTTTGTTTTATCTCTTATAAGTTCAATGGTGGGACTAATTAGGAGGGAAAATGTAAGTAGCAATAACAAAGAGTCAAACATACTTATTACTAAGGGGTTGTCACACCATATCATTTCAATTTCTTTTTTTTTTGTATTTATATGTATATACATCATACATAAGAAATATATATATATATATATATATATATATATATATATATATATATATATATAGACACACTCACAAAACCAAGTGTAAAACATGTTAAAAGGGTAAAACATAAAAAAAAAATTCTTAATATGTCAAAAATGATAAGTAAAAAGAAAATTTTATTTTAGGAATAAGGGATAAGTAATTACTAAAGAATTTGAGGGAGTATTATTGTTATTATTTTATGTTATTCTTGTATTTTCGTTAATTACTTCTCTTTTTAGACTATTTTAAATTTTTTTTCCTTAAGCAGTGAATCTATCGGAAACAACCTTTCTATCTTTGAGACAGGAATAAAATCTACGTAAATTCTACCCTCCCTAAAATCTCATGGGCGAAATTATTCGGAAAATTTTTATTTTCAAAAAAGTAGTCATTTAGTTGTAGAGAGATTAGATTGATGTTAATTGGATTAGTGATGCAAAATCAAAAGAAAGTAAATAAGATTTAAGGTAAATAGACAAAATCTAAACAAGTTAATTCATGATTTGAATCATTTAACTAAGAGGAAAACAACTTTTAGCATAATTGTCAACATTATTGTTAAGATAAGTGATAAAGCAATTGATTAATGTAATAATAATAATCAAGACTTTACTATAACCAATTGAGAAAAGTGATGTTTCTTTGCTTACTATAGAAAAGACATCCACCTCTTTTTTAAATAAATATAAGAAGGATATTGTATTTTCTTTAAGAGACAACATGATTAATTAATTGTCATGCTCTTCTAATTCCCCTTATCTAATCATTATGAGATTTACTCATTATATATCTCACTTTTATGAACTTGGGATGCTGTTTAAATGCTGTCAAATTAAGAGACAAAAGGCACTCAAAAATTTGCAATTCATGAGTTGGATGATGATGAAATAGATCTGGAAAGGATAGAATATATGCGATCTTTATTATTATCATTTTGAGATATATAACTAGAGAGACTATTTTATCTGACTTGTCAATTGACAAAATATTGAGACATAGGTATCAATTCTAGAAGTTTTGGAGTACTTGTTAAGTTTTGTTTGGTCTCTTTCTAGTATATATACTTTTACAAGATTTTGAAATTGCTAGTACTACTATGATTATGTTGTTTCTAAGTAGTTAATCACTCATTTATTTGCTTTGGATTTAGCCCTTTGTAGACAATTATCTTTAGATAGTAGGTTTAAGTTGAAGGGTAAAATCGTAAACTCAGATATTAGGGTTTAGGGAGGGGTAAAAGAGAAAAAAAAAATCATTCTAAAACATAATTGATATAAAACATATTACATCTTTTTATAAACTTTAAAGTATGTATTTTAATGCATATAAAGTGAATTTTTTTCACTCTTGGAGTCATGCTTTATAGCATGTTATGATTATAGAATTGAGATATATGATTAAAGTAGTGAAAGAATGATTGACTATTTCTTTTCTGCTCACACAATTTAAAAAAAATTAGACAATTTAATTAATTTAAATTATATCACATAAATAATTATTTTTTATATTCAAAACTTATTCACGAGAGAGAAGAAATCTTATTTGTTTCAATACGATTTTTGATGATTCAATATTTTATTTTCGTAAAAAAAATTCATATAACACTTGATTATTTGATCCTAATATAAATAATCAAGATCCTAAAAATGAAAAATACTTCATACCAGAAATAGAAAATATTCACTGATAACATTTTACATTAGTTACATTCTCTCGATCTACTGACACACATCATATCTTCGTTCCTTTCGAGTAGTTCAACAAACTTAAACAACACTTCAAATTTTGATTATCTAGTAGAGTAGTTTTTAATTATATCTAATTAATTTTTACTACGTATTAAACATATAAATAAATATATATCTCACTCATTTTTTTTTTCTAACACACACCTAATATATACAAATGATTACTAGTAAGGAATTTGTCTGCTGTGTATGATGCAACTATCCCCATCACAACTTTAGTATTTCAGTATATAATAATTATTTCTACCCTTTATTATATAAAAAAAATATGTCATCTTTTAGGTGCAATATTTTCTATACCTAATTATTGCATGCGTCACTCACGTGACATGCCCTTTCACATTTATTAATTTCACATTTTCCGCTCGGGGTACAGGAGGTTTTAAGTTCGAGTCTCCTTAAATATGTGCTCGTCTTTATTAGAGAGTATTTTACGTCAGATGTGGAAATTTTGAACGCGAATTTAAATTTAATCAGCTAATTATGAATTTTTTAACATAAATATAAATTTAATAGAATTAAAGATATTAAATAATATAGCGAATAAAAAAACAAAAAATAAATTGATATTTTCACTTTTTTTTGTTTTTGAATTTTACCATATTGAAAAAAAATCATTGAGGAAAAGATTTCACTAATCATGAGTATCTCTCATTATTATAATGTCCTTTCTATTATTGCATTTTTTCTTCCTCCTTTTTTGACCTCTACATATTTCATTCAAATGTGATTAACATTAAGATTATTATATATATATGATTAATCAATCACAATATATTTTATTTTCTATGTTTGAGTATTTTTTTTTCTTTCTTCTCAAATTATATATGATCTTAGGCAATGATTAAATCTAAATGGATAATTATGCCTAAAAAAATTAGGTGTGAAGACTTTAATGTAACATAACTTGTTACCATTGCTTT